CGTCTGTGCGACCGGAGGGCGCTCAGGCCCCCAGGACGAGGCGCGGCTGAGTGGGGACGAGGCGGAACTGGGCAGCACAGAAGCCCAGTGGTCAGGAAGTGGGACCCCGAGCTGGCTCAGGGGCTGGCCGTGGTCAGCAGAGGGTCACCAAGCGCACGGTGCAAGCCTCCTGGGGGAGGCTGGAGGAGCTCAGCTCTCCGACCTCCATGTCTGGGGACCAGGCAGGTGCTGAGCTTTGCAGGGGAGACATGGAAAGTCAAGGCTAGAAAACTGGGAGGAGCCCCCACCCTCCAGCCACCTGGATTCCTCACCCTGCTCCACCTAGCCTGCTCGGCTCCCATCCAGGGGCAGCTGCCTGCTGCTGGAGAGGACCCCCCAGTCCCATGGATTTGGCTTCTAACTTCATGGTCCCAACCTCGGCGGCCTCCCCTGCAACACGGCCGCTTCTCCCCTCCTCTTCCACCTCCTCCAGGGGGTGCTCCCAACCTGTACCTCCCTCTCCACAGCCCATCACTTCCTCTGGCATCTTCAACAGATGGTCCCGCCTCCTCTCCCTCTTTGAAACCAGCAATTCTCTTTGAAAACAAACTCTCAAGTCTCGACACACACACACACACACACACACACACACACACACACACACACACACACACACACACACACCCTGCAGCACAGCGTTCTCTGCCTCTCCCCTCCTCCCCTCCCTTCCCTCCAAGGCCTCGCTGTGTGCCAGGCGCCGTGCTACACGCGGCAAGGACACAAAGGAAACACACTCCTGGCTTGCAGAGAGTTCGCTTTTCCTCTTCCTTCCCCTCCTCTAGTCCAAGGTGAAATACTGGATCTGGCCTTCAGAGCATCCCCTCCCAAACCCTCCGGGACCTTGTTCCATTAATCACCACCCCCATGCCCTTATTATCTCTAATCTCTCCTTTTTAACTGCCTCTCCTCTTCAGCATACCAACAGCCTCAAGAATTTCCACTCTGCTTAATTTTAAAGCATTCTCTTAGCCCTCGCCCCTCTCTCTAGTGACCTTCCACCCTCTCCCTCAACTCTTCGTGACAACATTATTGAAAAGGTGAGTCTCCCATACCCACCCCCCTCCCCTGCAGTCTGATCTCTAGCCCCCACACCGCTGCACTGTGCACTAGCAAAGACACTTTGGAGAAGTCGTGAAATCTAAAGGACGCCCTCTAGCCTTATCTGACTCAATTAAGATAGGGGAGTGCCTCTTTGTACAGCATCAGACACTTTTCACCACTCTCTTTCTTTTCCTTGGCCTCCTAGTCACTTTCCAGGCTCATACCCTTTTAGATTCCTTTTTGGACCCTCGTCCTCCTGCCCCACAAGCGTCAGTGTCACCCAGGCTCTGCCCTATGCTGCCTGCTCTCACTCCTGACACTGCTTCCCTTGGTGAACACAGCCAGACTCCCAGCCTCAGCCACCACCTGCAGACTAATTCTTCCCCCAAGCATACTCCAGACTCGAACTCTCTCGCAAAGCCAGACCAGGACAGTGGGGTCACATCGCATCAGCATTTGATGTAAGGGAATTCAAGGATACTCATTCAGTAAAATTTTCTTTAAGAGAGGAATAAAGCAATATAGATAGCCCAGGCCATTCCACACAATGAGGACCCAGCCTGCAGTAAGCATCCGCTGTGGTCTCCTCAGGCGTCTCGTTCCCTGAATGCCTCCTTAAGGTGAGCACCGGCTAGAGTCTGGTGTTTCCACACACTCCGGGCCCCACAGGCAACCCAATGGCTTCACCTCCTGTCCAGCTGAAACCCTGGAGCAAAGCTATCATTCTTGGACTTGAATGTCACTCTCCAGCCCAATGCCTTCTTTAGAGATTTTCAAGTATAATTTATGCAATTTTCACCTCATACCTTAACTTAATCTTAGGAAGGGGTAAGGTCTAAAGTCAGAGAAAAGGTGAAACTGAAGTATCCTCAAAATTACTCCCTGGAAAATCCTTGAATTGTCCATCACATACAAGGTTGACACATATAATCCTCTACAATAATATGTACGTATACAGTACTGTCCAATACATAATAAAGAGTATGCAAGATATTTTGTAGTTGACTACAGATTAAAATAGTTAGCTCACCTTTAGTGTCTCTGTTGCAGGAAAAACATAGGGTTGAATTTGCATAATAAAATTAAGTTATATTCACACTTGATGTGATGTTTCTGAGCTCTCTCTAAAGGGTTCCAGAAAAACTTCCCAGAGAGGAGGGGCTTGAGTTGATGTTAAGAAAAGAAATTTGCCTAGTACACCAATGGGGTTAAATTATTGCACGTCCCACCATAGCATCAGGCACCTCTTTCGTGCTCAATCAGTGTTATTGAATTAAATTGAAGCAAAATGTAGAAAGATTTAGAAAGAAAGAGCACAAGGTTTGGCAGAAAATACTAGGTGACTTCAGTATTGTGGGGGTGTGGGGTGTGAGGTAGGGATCAGAGGAGGGAAGGGCAGGTGAGCAGTGGTCGAAGATGGCCTGAACGGGTAGGCAGGGCCCACATGTCACATAGATACCCAGGAGCTGGGCTGTGACAGAATATAGGGCCTTCTGTGCTAAGCTAAGGACTAGACATTTCAGTCTAGAATTTCTGGGAAGCTTTTGCACAAGAAATGAGGTGACACGATAAGATTGGCACTTCAGAGCACCAGATCCTGGATAGAGATTGATGTGGAAAGAGAATATGGACAAGGAGACCCTTTAGGAAGTTGGCAAGAGGTGACCTCAACTTTGAGGAAAAATAAAGACACAGCCGTCCAATCCTCAAGGCAACTTTAAGGAATGTGGCCTTAAATTAAATCACTTAAACAATATGTCCAGTAAACTGATGATTTGCTGCTTTGCCAAGATTAAAATCATAAGAATGTATGTCTTCCTCCAACTCTTCTCCATGTTAGAATGTCACCATATCTTAGTACATTCTGTTTTCTCCCGTTCTGTCTCTGAACAAATACGTTCCCCTCCACGCTCTCCATCCCAGCCCTCCTGCTGATCCCGAGACCGCATTCTGGCAATTAACTCTCTTTCTTTGATACCCTCCTCCTGCCTCTTCTTTGCTCCCTTCGTTTATAAACATGAACGCTCATATGCATCTGGGGCTGAATTGTTTTCTTCTTGAGCTTTCTTGAGACCTCTTGAGGGAGGCTTGAGCCTGGTACGTTCCTCCTTATCCCACCACCTTTCCCCTCTCTCCTGCCTAATCTCACAAAAGAGCAACCCATGCTCAGTGCCTCACCACCCACTCCCTCCCTGATGAACAGTACGCAATCTGGTCTTGACCCTCTAGAGATCGGTTCTCCTGAGGGCCCTCACCTTCCAGCCGGATGAAGCATGTGCACAAACAGCACACAACAGGCAGCGTCCAACTGTGCAGATAAAGAGCCGGGGGAGAAGGGAGGCAGGTGACTACTTGAGCTGAGGAAGAACATGGAGGAGCTGGCATGTGACCTGTGCCTTGAAAGATATGCACCCCCCCATTCTCATAAGTGACAAAAATCGAAATCAAAATAATTTCAGCAAAAAAGGGAATCTGTTGTTCCCGACAGCAGAGAAGTCCGAGGAGTGGACCCAGGCTTAACCGCAGCCTGTCAGGCGCATTCTCCACCCTCATCTCTTGGTCCTGCTCCCACGTGAATTTGCTCCCAGATAGGTTTTTTCCACGTCAGAGTAAATGGAGTGGCAGCTCCAGGCTCACGCAGCCTTGGAGCTGGCGGTCACAGAGTCTCCCTCCAGAGGCCGGTACCAACCCTGAGAAAAGGCTGGCTGCTCAGCGTAGGTCATATACCGCCCACAGCTTCCAAACATGAAAGGATGCGACCCGGAAGGAGTACTCAGCCAGTGCGGTAGGATCTTCACACGCAATGAAGTGGAGGGAACCAGGAGGTGGAAATGGTAAACAGCCGCATGTGTTTTGGGGAGAACACATGTTCCTGTGTGTGGGGAGAAGGGTACAAAAAGATGCTGTGATTGAAAAAGAAGTTGGGAATGAGACTGAGACCTAGAAAGCCATTCTAAAGTTATGTGTGTGATTTTTTCTGGGGGTTTTGGTTTTTTAGGCATTGAAAACATGTTGATGGTTAATAAACAGGACAATGACCAAGTGCGACTGGGAGTTAGAAAACAAAACTATGGCCATCGCAACTAAAACGGAGTAGGGAATTCCTGGAAGGACAGGGAATTCTGGTCATGATAGAACATTCCTAGATGAGATGGGGAGAATGGTCGTCTCTTCAGTCAGAAGCTGAGGTAGGCAGGCAGAATAATGCCTCCCTAGGTGGAAAAGTGGTGGGCCGGCCCCGTGGCTTAGCGGTTAAGTGTGGGCGCTCCGCTGCTGGTGGCCTGGGTTCGGATCCCGGGCGCGTACCGACTCGCTGCTTCTCCGGCCATGCTGAGGCTGCGTCCCACATACAGCAACTAGAAGGATGTGCAACTATGACATACAACTACCTACTGGGGCTTTGGGGGAAAAAATGAATGAATAAAAAAATTATAAAAAAAAAAAAAAGAAAGAAAAGTGGTAACTACTCCCTGTGGAAATATAGTAGGATAAGACAGCAGAATCGCAATCCTGAAGATTTCTGGCGAAGGATGGTGGGGAAGGGGGAATATCATCATGGTTTCTACTAAGAGTATCCTAGTACAGCAGAACAGCCATACTGGCTATTAAATATTAAGATACTTCTGTATATCAGTTGATCAATAGTCACTACCCTAACATCCTCTCCAGGACCACTGCCCCTTAATCCCACCCCAGGACCCTGAGACCATCCCATGTTCCAGTGACTACAGCATTGAGTCTGACCCATGGGGGGCTTCCAGAAGCTGGTGCATCACATATGGTCCCTGTTCTCTGTGCATACTGATTGGTAAATATTGGGATCTTAGCCCTGGGTGAGATCATAATGGAGAAGAGTGCCTGAACAATTTCCCAGAATCCAGGGAGCACTGGAGAGGCTGGGCCACCAGAGAAAGTTGAGAGTGGGGAGCTGCCTGTAGAGGAACGGGAGGGAACCCTCCTGCAGAGCTCACGGTGTCTGTGGCGGTCCGTCCAACACCGCATTCTTCACTCTGTTCACTTCAAGCTGGGACAACGATAATCACCAGCCAATTTAATGCTGGGAAATTATCAGCATTATCTGCACTCATTTTATTTCTCTTTTACCCTGCCCTGGGCAACCAGGAAATTTAAGCCAAAGTTAACCTAAAAAGGAAGATGAGTAGCTAACTTAGATTTGTCCTTGGTTTACTCTACATTTATCCAAATCACAGAAGAGATTAGAAAGCTTCCATCTGACCCAGAAAAAGTATAAAGGCAAAGTGGACAGCGACAGCATCATCTATTTCTAGCCTTCCTCTTAAGAGACACTGAAGTTTGTAAAAGGCCGAATGTTTTAGGAAAAAGCCAACTATGGCAGGAAGTAAATAAATGTGATAAGTGGCTTGCTCATTTAGGAAAGTATTCTGAATGAGTTTTGGCCTCAAAGAAGCCTCTTAGACTTTTAATATTTGGTCTAGAAATATAACCATTCTTTAACACATCCCATAATTGATTTTGGAATGTCAATTTCATGGTGAATTTTTATTTTTAGAAAAGCATTTAGAAGTTTTCTCAGTAAGTTAAACATAGAATTACCCTATGATCCAGTAATTCCACTCCTAGTTATATACCCAAAAGAAAGGAAAACAGGTTTTCAATTAATAACTTGTACATGAATGTTCATAGCAGCATTATTTACAATAGCCAAAAGGTGGTAGCAACACAAATGGCCATTAATTGATGAATGGACAAACGAAATGTGGTATATTTGTACAATGGAATATTATTCAGCCATGAAAAGGAATGGAGCACTGATATATGCTACAGTGTGGATGAACCTTGAAAACATCACTCTAAGTGAAAGAAGCCAGACACAAAAGGTCACCTCTTGTGTGATTCCATTTGTATAAAATATCCAGAAGAAGCAAATCCACAGAAACAGAAAGCAGGGACTATGGGAAGGAGAGAATGAGGAGTGACTGCTTAACGGGTACGGGGTTTCCTTTTGGGGTGATGAAAATGCTCTGGAATTAGATCATGGAAATGGTTGCACAACATTGTGAATGTACTAAATGCCACTGAATTGTACAGTTTAAAATGGTTAAATTGGTGAATTTTGTCATATATATTGTACACAATTTTTAAAATAAAGGTCAGAGAAGGCAACGAGGTTGTGAGATCCTGAGAACATGGTCTCACGCCCGACAGCTCTCAGGGAGCATCAGCGTCAGCTTCCCTCCTTCCTACGGCAGCCTCCTCCCGCTCCTCTTCCCACAAACAGCAGCATTTCCTCCCCAGCTGGCGCATTTTTTTTTAAAGAACTCTCTGAGTAGGTTTTGAATCTTCAATATTTGACTTCTTATAATCACACTGAAAATACTTTTGCAAAGTATTTCTTTTCCTGATACTTTATGTAAAGGAAGTAAGAACAAACCACTTTTACTTACAAAAATAAGTCGTGGCTGGATCTATCTAGAAATGGCTTAGCTCCGTTTTTAGGTGCAAGCTTGTAATGAGGTACGAGCCAAAGAAGCTTCGGGTACAAAACCATGTGATGGCCACAGATTGTAACCTTAAGGCTCCAGGGTGACCAGCTCTCGGGACCGGGAGGGGACACGACAGAGCCAGAAGGAAGGTTTTCTGTACGTGTAACCCATAACCGAAATCCACAGAGTTCTCCTAACGTTTAGCGTTGGGTCGCCTTCACATGTGCATGTGGTAAATACACACATCATTACATCGTGCACCACCAGCATGAGAAACATCTCCTCTCTTGTCTGTGGAAAATATGGAAAATTCTTTCACAAAAAAAGGAAAAGAAAAAACCATACAATTGTAGATTTCCTATAGATTTGAGTCAAAAACAACATCTAAGGCTATTTTAAAACAAAACAGAATTTTTTATGACAGGAAACTATCCTAACAATGACACCTTACTTCCTGAAAACTCCAAGTAAATTCCACATATTTCCATGTTGACTTTACCGGAGCCCAAGGCGACAATTCCCACCTCGTGGTCACATAAGTGCGTACTGCATATATCATTTGAAACTGTATATGCAGCCTGCTTTTTTTTTTTTTTTTTTTTGGTGAGGAAGATCAGCCCTGAGCTAACATCCATGCCAATCCTCCTCTTTTTGCTGAGGAAGACTGGCCCTGGGCTAACATCCATGCCCATCTTCCTCCACTTTATGTGGGACACGGCCTCAGCATGGCCTGACAAGCAGTGCGTGGGTGCACGCCCGGGATCCGGACCCAGGCCGCCAGCAGTGGAGCGCATGCACTTAACCGCTGAGCCACAGGGCCGGCCCCATGCAGCGTGCTTTACATTCTGAGGTCTCAATCAATGTTTGAACAATATGTAAAGGATCAAACAAACTAAAATATATAAAACATTAACACGTGAGAAAGGTTTATATGATCCCAACTTACTTTGATTTTTACTGAGACGTCACTGTTGAATAACTGAAAGTCTCTCAGAAAAACTCCAACCCAACTTTGTATTATTAGTTTTGACATCCTCTCCTAACAGTGATTTTCCAGGGCCTGGAAACGTGTTGTCCTTTTCCCTTCCCAGCCTAGAAGCAGTGAGTTGACACAAGGCACAGATTTTCTGCAGTCACTGAAGTGTTGGGGACTTCTTCAAATGAAATGGAAAGGGAGAATGCAAGGCTGAAAGCACCGTTACCCACACGAGGTCCCCGGAGCACCCGGCCGACGCGGTGGCCGTTGACACGTGGTCTGGGTCATTGCCATGTACAGTCCCCCTCTTGGAGGGTCACAGACATCTGCAGTGCAGGATCCTGCTTCACTTTGTTCAACTCAACATTCCCCACCCTTATCTGACCACTCCTTTTTGCTGGTAACATGATTAACATTCCACAGACACCGCAGGCATGGCTGGTCTGGTTGGTTCTGCTCAATTTATGGCCCCTGATATTCTGGACAATCGTGGGTTGCGTCCAGAAACATTCTGGGTTGTCAGGATGTTTTAAGTCTACAAAGTACTGATATCCCCACACCAGCAGAGAGCACATTTGTCAGTCTGTTTGTCCTTCATCCAGTTTCTGGCCTGTTAGGACTTTCAAGTGCCTTGGGCAGAAAATGATCCGTCTGAGATGCAGGCACACGGTCTGACAGTGACCACCAACTTTCTCTCCAGGACATACTCAAGGGAACTACCAAAAATGCTGTTACACAAAAAGGACTCACGTTTTCTGCCCACACTGCTTTCCTGTCATAGAATACGCTGACAATCCTGGCCTGTCACCATGGTTTATTAAGAGCTTGAGCCTGCGTTCCCACTTTGGGCTCCACTACTTTACAGCGACGTTACCTTGGGCAAGTTGCTTCACCTCTCTGAGCCTCAGTTTTCTCATCTGTCAAATAGGAGAACAATAAAATCACCTACCTTTTAAAGAAAAGATTTCCATGAAAAGATTAAAAATGACAGTGCACATAAGAGCAGTGGGAACGCCGGTGCTTGGCACTTGATAAAGGTTGACTGCTATTATTTCTCATCTCCTGAGCCTCCTCCTTAGCTGATGTAGTTTCACCAGCTGGGACAGAGGACAGGAAATGGAAACCACGGTGAAAGAGGAAAAAGGGCGTCTGCGGATGTTCTAGATGTATTTACAATATGAGGCGGAGGAGACGGAGATGCAAATGCAGAGATCAGAGCTTCTGAGCTTAGCAAAGTAACAGGTGAGTCCCAAGCTGCAAAGGATTAGAGAAAAACGATCTAAGGACAGGTGTCCTTTATGAGAGCCACCTACTCGCTCCAACATTGATCATGCCAGAGGCTCGGATTCAAGCCCCACGAGATGCACGTGGCTTCTTTCTATTCGACAGCCACCATATGCCACCTTCACAGAGAGGTACGGAGCTGATGGATTAACACAAATTCAGACCCCACCACTGGGGCTACATTCCCCCAGTGCTCTGGACACACCTTCACCAACTCTGGGGGACAATCAGAGCTGAGCCCCTTGACCTATTTGGTGGAAGAAGTGGATGCTCAATAAGTATTTGTTGAATAAATAAATGTTTGAATGGAGTTAAACATGCATGTGAATAATTGAGGGTAAGGAGGCAGAAAGACTGTCAGTATTCTAGCACTTTCTGTTCATCCTTAAGGAGAGGGCTGGGCAAACTTCTTCTGTAAAGAGCCAGACAGTAAATACTTTAGGCTTTGCCATCCAGACTCTATTGTAACAACTCAAATCTGCAGTGTAGTTTGAAAGCAGCCAAAGATAATACGTAAATGAATGGATGTGTTCTGATAAAACTTGATATTCATATATAGAAATGTGAAGCTCGTATCATTGGTACATGTCACAAATTCTTCTTTTAATTTTTTTCAACCATTTAAAAATGTCAGCATCATTCTTAGTCCACAAGCTGTATAGAAACAGGTGACAGTGGATTTGACCCATGAGCATTTTTGCCAACTGCGGCTTTAGGAAACATAGGAGACAAGTAGATGAGGAAGGAGGGAAACAACAAAATATTTCTTCAGTCTCTACTAAGTGCTGTGGGGGACAGAGCAGGTAAGAAAAACAGGCCACATCCCTGTGCTGAGGAAGCACATGTTCTAAGCAGCAGAGCCAGCTAATAAGGTGATTTCAGGTTGGTATAGAGGAAATGCACAGGATCATGAAATAGACCAGGGACGTCACCACAGAGAAAAGGGGCTCCGTGCATTCACACACCTGATCACGTTTAACCCGCTGACAACTCCAATGGAGATGGGAAGAGTGATATTTAGGCCAGTTATGTGACCTGCCTGAAGCCTCACAACTGGTGATTGGAGAAACCAGGTCACAAAGCCAGGTCCTCTGTCCCCAAGTCCTGTGCTCAGTGGGGTAGCTGGAAAGGAGATAACTAGGTCAGAGTCAGGCGTACCAGGTCCAAACTCCTCAGGGCCTCAGTTTCAAAGATGGAAAATGAGTAT